CTCTTCAGTGCTATGTGAAGAATATCTAGCAGTTGAACTGGAAGGATCTTACTATGTAAATTATGTCCCCAGATCATCTTATTTCAGCAAATATTGAAGCCCTATTAGTTTTGATAAGACCATTGATCTATCTGAAATTAAGCCCATAGCAATCTGTATTGTTGACTTGGGAATTATGTGCTTTGGGGTCAAAATAAGGAAAAATTTCTGATCAATGACTTCAACAATTGCAGCATGCCTGTCTCTTCTCGTTTAAGGCCTTCTGATGACTTGGCTAGGAGACGTTGCACCGATCCGTATCCAAATTCATAATTTCTTAATTACTTGCTATTTTGTAAAAGCAATAGATCCCGTGACCTATTGATGATATGTGGTATATTCTGGATATCTTGAATCAGAGCAGTAGTGATACTGTTGTTGGAAGTCTCTACCCATAGCATCTTTCCATTAGTTCACTCCCACAAGCAACTGCTTAGGAAGCAAATGACCACTAAGAATTCTCTTTCCCAACCGTCCCTATAGCTGAACTGGGGCTAATCGAAATAAAATGGTCATAAATTAAGTCTAAACTATTTTATATTCTGTTAAAAGATACAAACAGCAAGGAAGAACCAGAGCCTTTTTAGACTGACACATCAGTTCTTATTAGGTAAAAGTGTCCTGATGGTTTTGACAACAGAATAGCAGTCACATCTTTCAGGACATTGTGGGATCTCCACAAGTAATCACAGGAGGGTGGGAAACAGTAAATGTGAAGATATTTTGCCAAATGGCTCACGGAGCTGAACACAGTAATTTATTAAAAACATTACTTTGGTTCCTGACAGAGAACACATCTCCTAACTCTAGTTTAGATTTGATTCCCTTGTTAAACTCAACCAGAATTATGCCTGGTTAATTATATTATGCTTTTTTCTAAAATATGAGTGTCTGTTTTTGGAGATGAAGTCTAAATTATATGAGGATTTTGAAGTATTGTAGTGAGCAGACCATGATACAGCAGAACCAAATACGGTCTAATATGAAACAAAAAACCCCAAAACATTTATAGAGGGGAACAGGCATGGACCTACTGAGGGTTATCTCCACAGCAACATAAGGGTGAACATTTATATGTAATTCTACCATTGCGAAGAGACTGTAGGTATTATCCTCAAATAATTGCTGCTGGCTGATTAGGAGCATAGTACTGGAAGAGGCCTCCTGGGTGAGTCAGGTCCCCTGCTGTTGCATTCACTACATGATATTACCCCTTTCATTAGCTGAGCAAGTTCCAGCCTAGAATTAGCTATTTTGTTTGCCACTCTGTTCTACCTGGAAATGTGCCTCAAAAATTAACTTTACAGAAGCCTTCTTTTAATCTCCAGCCTCAATTTAACTCTGAACTGTTTGTTCTTGTGGCAACATTATCCTGCTCCTAAGCGGGCCTTCTCGTTTCCTGGTGTTCCTTTTGGGTATGCATAGGGAACAGTTGTATCTTCTCTCCTACTGTATTTCATTTGGATCATTAAAAAGCAATCCAGTTTTTCTCTTTACTTTTGTTGTTCTTGACTATGGGTAATGAGAGCCGAACACAACATTCCTTGAGAAATACCGTTTCTTTTGAAGTAATGACTCAGGTGATGTACCTGAGCCTTGCTTCACCTCGCCACATTTTCCTTGCAGATGCCAGCAGTTCATTGTGGATAATCCTGCACTCTAGATACACTGATATTTCCAGCTCAGGAGCACTTGCTTCCTACTAAAAGATACTGTTTTGTGAGATGGTGTTTTATTTTAGTATATTTAATCCTGCGTCAGACTAACTTCCTACTGTATGATATCTTAATCTCTTAACCAAGAATTGTAATTATCCTCACAACGTGGTCCATGCAACTTCCACTGAACGTTCTCCATTCAAGTACCCATGATCTGAGGCAGAAACTAGCCTTTAAACTTGTGGTTAGAGGGTTTTCTTGTGTTGAGAAGTTCACTGTTTAACCTCATGGACTGTGTATTAATGGCTGAATTGCTGTTTTATTGCTGTCATTCTGGCTTTTGCTGGCATACGTGCTTTCTTTGATGAAATTGAGACAGCAGTTTTTATCAGTGTAACGGTTGTTTTCCCTCTGCTGCATTGGTTATATGCTGCAGACCTCTTGATTCCTCCTAGCTTTAGACAGACATATAAATTAAGTGGTGCTCTTGCTACGTAATTCTGAGAAGTTCAGGCAAACATCATCTTCTTTTTTTTTTTTTTTTCTTTTTTTTCTTTCTATGTGGAGTTTGACATTTGATTGAGAAAATGTATTTCCAGGGACTTCTGTCTAGGTAGACCTGTTGTTCTGTGTTGTGCATGCAAAATTTTCTAAAGGTTGGATCATGAACCAATGTTACTAGGCTTGAACTGCTGCAGAGGAAGTTATTTCCCTTGAGGTAATTCTTTTTTTTCTTTCTATGTGGAGTTTGACATTTGATTGAGAAAATGTATTTCCAGGGACTTCTGTCTAGGTAGACCTGTTGTTCTGTGTTGTGCATGCAAAATTTTCTAAAGGTTGGATCATGAACCAATGTTACTAGGCTTGAACTGCTGCAGAGGAAGTTATTTCCCTTGAGGTAATGGTGGCTTGATGGCCCAGAGAAACACTTACAGGTAAGGGAGAAATATGTCGAGTTGCCCTATGAGGAGAGGCTGAGGGAACTGGGATTATTTAGTTTGGAGAAGAGGAGGCTGAGAAGAGATCTCACTGCTCTCTTCAACTACCTGAAAGGAGGTTGTAGGGAGGTGGGAGTTTGCCTCTTCTCTCAAATGAATAATGACAGGACGAGAGGAAATGGCCTGAAGCTGCACCAGGGGAATTTTAAACTGGATATTAGAAAGAATTTATTTACTGAAAGAGTTGTTGGACATTAGAACAGGTTGCCGAGGGAGGTGGTAGATTCACCATCCCTGGAAGTATTTAAAAGAAACGTAGATACAGCACTTAGCAATATGATTTAAGCACTGAACTGGTAAATTAGGTTATGGTAGGGGGATTTAAGTTGTGGTTAGACTTGATGATCATCAAGGTCCCTTCCAACTAAGATGATTCTGTGATTCTGTTTACCATTTGAAAGCTTTATAAGTGACAGCACGTAATTGGTTTTCTTGTTTTGTTTTTTTTTATTCTTTCAGTTCCTCTGCCTTTCACTCCTTTTTTAGTGTGAGAGTGGTAAGACACTGTAACAGGTTGCCCAGGGAAGTTGTGGAAGCCCCATCCCTGCAAGTGGTCAAAGCCAGGTTGGATGGGGCTCTGAGCAACCTAATCTAGTGGGAAGTGTTCCTGCCCATGCAAGGGCTTGGAACTTAGATGATCTTTAAGGTCCCTTCTGACTCAAACCATTCCATGATTCTGTGATTTTGTGGTTTGATGAATAAGGTTTATACTGAAAGATAGAGACCAGTATGTTCTGAAAAAAGTAGTTTCTCTTTACTGGAAATAACTTTTAATGTTATATGCTATAAGCAGAGTTACTGAGAGTGCTTGTAAGTAGTTTCTCCTCTTGTCATTAAGGATTTGCTCGTATCTGTGCCTGTAGCTAGCTTCTATTAGTGGAGTAATTAAAATATCTATCACCCAGACTGCTTTGCATGCTGTTTTTCTTAATTACTTTAGTCACTGCAATTACATACTCCAGTGAAATTACAGTTGGAAGATATTAGAGGGGAACTTCCAATGATCTTTATATCTCGTAGTTGAAGTGCAAGTGCATAGAAAGACAATAGAGAGGATTTAACAGGTAGCATTTTCAAATTGCTTCAGTCATTCTGGCAATATTTTTTTGTCTGTCTGAACAGCGTTCTGCCTGATTGCTTGGTTGTTAATAAGTGAATAATGATTACTCCCAAGGTGCAACTTGTCCTCTTTAACTCCTTTCTGGAGTTCTGTCTTGCAAGGCACTGAATTTCTAAATCACAAGTTTCTCTTCACCCTGAAGTTACCAAGCTCTGTGGTAATTCTTCTTTCTAATCAACTTTAATGACATAAAGAGGGATAGATCATTTCTTAGAACAATAGGGAGATGAGGTACTCCCAGCGCCTTTTGTTTACTACGTGTGTATTTGCTGTTTACTACAGGAAGCTATAATATTGCAGTGTGCTGAAGTGTTTGCAGAACCCAGCCTTTAGTGGGAATTGTTTGGGTTTCTGTTTTTTTTTTTCATTTAGCAGTAATCTTTAACTTTTTAATGCTAGTAGATTACTAGTGTGGAAATCAGTTCTTCTCTGTAACAGTGGGAACAAATCTATAACTCGAGTCTGTTAAGCAGTATTTCTTTCTACCTTTTGGATATATTATGCCAATCTACAGGTAGAGAACAGATATAAACTAAGTTGAACTAATGTGTTAAGTAAGGTTTATGGCTACTGTGTGTCTCTGGAACAGGGTAAAATGTCCAGGGACTGTCTGGTTAGTATTTTAGCCCAAAATTTCCTTTAAGAGCCAAAACACCTTATTACTGCTGATCTTTAACTGCAGTAAATCTAATGGTTGTTTGCTGCCAAGTCAAATCCATTATTACTTAAACAGTTGTCTTAACTTGTATAGCTGCCACATATTCATATTTGACAGCTGCTTCTTAATGAAAACAAGGGGAGTGAATAAGATAGCCCTCAGCTATTACTTAGCTATTTTGTGAACTATGGAAAAATTAATGTATTCCACATTATCTATACTTTTATGTATGAAGTAATTAATTCTTTCATTATGTCTCTGTCATGTCACTCTTTGAATTAGTTCTCTAATTAACCCAGTTGCTGCTTAAATGGCAGTTCATGTTGTCATTAGCATAAGGTTCTAAAGACTGTATATTGGGTAGAAAGTTAAAAATCCATGTAACATGGCAGTACAAGTCCCAAGATCAGAAAGTATCTGAATTCACATAATAATTTTGCATATGCCATTCCTACTCTGAAATATCAAACACTCTTCTTTCTGCATACTTTTAAATCCTCTGATGTTTACTTTTTTTTTTTCCACAGATATAAGCTTACCAAAATCAGCAACAATATGCTACACAGCTGCATTGCTCAAAGCCAGAGCTGTCTCTGACAAGTAAGTGCAGAAGAACCACTGTCCAGCAAAATTCCTGATTTAACTCGAGATTTCTCTTAGCTGAGCCCACACCCTAACAATCTGCTGGATTAGCAGGAGAATTCTGTCCTGCAGTAAATTTATAAAATGACTTTACATGTAAGAAAAAATTGTAGTGGTCAAACACTGCACTTGAAATATTACAGAAGAAGAAGAGAAATAGCATAAATTCAAATGGTTTCAGTTTTATGTATACTATCTGGGTGAGCTTTGGCTTCCTACGTAGTATAATGAAGATGCAACTAAAAGGTGTTGTGTGGCTGAAGTTCTTCAACTGTGTACAAACCTGACCACAACAAGGTAATTAATAAATGTGGTAGTGATGTTGTCAGAATACTGCCCATCTATTTTAATAGCAGCAGGTGGATTTAGCATAACAATGTCAGGAATTCTGAGAGGTAGATGACATCCATATTTTTAGACACACAAGTATTTGCTCGTTCCTGTTATGGTTTTCTCTTGGGTCTTAACCTCCCAAGGTGTTGAGCACATCTACTTGATTCCTGTGGACTTGAGAGCACTGGCCTGCTCTGAAAGGGTGCTCAGCTCCTTGTGAGATGGAGCTTAAAAATCCCAATTCTGCTCTCAGATGCCTTCACACAAATCCCAGGCAGAGTTGTGTCTGTGCACCTGAGGGTCGAATGTCTCCCTAAAGTTGGAAAGCAAGTAGAGTGGAAAGCTGTTTTCTCAGCTGACATCCTGACAGTTTTTGCTTTTAAAGTGTATGTACACATCAAGATCTAAGTAATTTTCTTTCATTCTTTTTATCCTGTAGATCGCCAGTACCTACTGCAACATCTTTCCTCCCTACACAGCGACTCCAGCTTGGGAGGGCAGGGCTAAGGTTGTCACAGCTTTCCCTGTGGTGTCTGCCTGCCAAGTACAGCTCTGGAGTTAGCCGTGGGGTGTGAGGTGAGAAAGAGATTGCATGGTCTGGTTTTTCATTCACTGGGGCAGATGATTTGCCCACAGTTTGGGCATGCTACCCTCAATGGTGCTGCAGCCAGTAGACCACCTGCTACTGCTGCTGCATCGTGCTTCCATCCCAACCTGACCCAGGGGTATTGGGCTGGGAACCTCCCTAAAACCTCCCCCAAGCTGTTTTTAATAGAAACCCTCCAACAATAATTTGGCTTTGTTGTTGTTTTTTGGGGGTTGTTTTTATTTTCTTTTTTTTCTGCATCTTCAGCCTTGAATATGCCCCTTAGCAAGGTACCTAGAGCAAATTTAGATTAGTGACAGAGAAAGGACTGTTTGAACTGACTTTCTGCCATTATTATATGCAAACATGCTTTCCACTTCTGCTGGGATTTTCATTGGCCTTGATGTAATAGATCACTCAGAGTTTCCACTTGCTATGGGAGTTTGGAGAGCATAGGAAATTGACTCAGTTTGGTTACATGGGCATATGTTCTAGATACTTGCTTTTTCTTAGAAGCAGTTCAGACCTAATGTGTTTGTTTCTTTGCTTTTGTAGGTTTTCTCCAGAGGCTGCCTCGAGGCGAGGGTTGAGTACTGCAGAGATGAATGCAGTAGAAGCTATTCACAGAGCAGTAGAATTTAATCCACATGTGCCAAAAGTGAGTATGGAGAAAGCATTGTTGTAGCTTTAACACTGCTGAGGACTAACTCCTGATTTCTGTGTTAGATTGTGAGTGATGATGTGGAAAAGGGAGCAAACAATGGGAAGGGAAACAAGCTGATAGTATTCACAGGTTTTTTAATTTGGTATTTCACATTTGGTATCTTCTACTCTGGACTGTGCAACTTGAAATTTTCGCTGAAGTGAGTTCTCTGTGTGAGCAACAATTCCATGGTGGATTGCAGTAGCCAACATCACCAAATGCTATGCTGCAAGACAGAATGATACAGAAAGACAGGTTATTATTTACAAAATAACCATTAAAGATCTCCTAGTTCAAAGTATTATGTTTTATATGTTTTGATGATTCATGTCAGAGTATGTTTTTGGCATGCTATACAAAGGAACCTATGTTTGAAGTTCATGGTGTGCTTCGTGGAAATTGCCTTAGTAATTCCTTATGCGGCACCCTGTCATTAAGTTCTGAGAATACAAAGCTCAGAGATGAAGAATTGCTGAGAGCTACAAAGTAAGAAAAGGGATTTATGTTCTAATTCCCTAATCCTCTATCTAGATATGTATCTTAGCATTAAGAATCTTACCTAGGGGCTACTAAAGGCTAATATATTTTATTATTTCATCACCTGATTGTCAGTATAATAGTCTGTAAGTTCATTGTAAAGGTAAGCCAGAGGCAGCTGCTTTTTGGCCCTTGGAATCTGCCTCTGAACCTCACTTCACAAACCTTTGGACCAGTATTGCCCTTTGAAAGTAAGCAGCCTCTGCTGCAGAGCATAAGACTGTGGTTTGTTGATGCAGGAAGCCTACTCATTAGGTATAGCTGAACACCAAGTTTGGTCAAGATAAACCTAAAACCTCTCCCATATGTACACGTGGATTGCAGAAATTTCATTCTCGTACATTGCAGGAATTAAATATTTCTTCTGTGAAATGTTTATCTCTTTTGCCAACCGCTAAATAGCATGGTTTAGCTATCTGAAAGTTAAGCTGTTTGTTTAATAAAATCATGTAGACTTCCTCTACAGGCAGTGGAAAGAAGGAACTATCTTAGACATCCCTAGATAGACTTCCCTCCAAGGGAAAATATTAAATGAAGTTGGGTTCCAGGGGTTCCAAGACTGCTTCTGTGGAATTCTCTTTACTTTCTTCCATCCCAATGGTTCTTCCACTGATACAGCCATTGATAATTATCTTCTGCCTGGTTGCCTGTTTAACTTTCTATTCCTGTCCTACTCTGGGTGAACTTTTTTGAATGTTTTAGTGAAGCCCAGTTGGAGTATTCTAGCCTTGCTGTCTAAAAATGTAGCTGTCTTGCTAAGCAAAGATATCAGTTCAACCTGTCATAAGCAGTCCTTGGGAGCCTGTTCCGTTTTCCTCAGTTGCCTCCATGCTTTTGACAATTCTTTCCATAAAAATAATTTTTATCAGTTTGCATACCAAAGATTCCATATTAAAATGTATTGTTTCCCTCCTCTTTAAATTAACAGCCTTACATTAACTTCTCTCATTACTGGACCACTCAATTTTGAGTGGAGCTCTTTTTGGCTTAAGTCACTTCTGCAAGTCTGACAATTTCTGGGACTGGTTCATTGACTGTTCAGGGACAAAAATAATGGCCCAGACTAGCCTCCATTCCTGTGTGTGCTCCACCCTGCCGTTGTCTCTACACGTTGCACTGCCGTGAATCTGAGGCCAGGTCTTTGTTTACTATCTTTTTGCTTGTTCTTTTTCTGGTTTATACTTAGAAGCTTGCTTTTCTTTGCTTTGACCTCCTTTGCAAAATTTACCTTACTGTAAATTGTAGCAGTTGCTCTGTAACATCTGTACTTCCAGACCTCCAAGATCCTGCTTTTCTTGTAGATCAGTATTTTCATTCATACCTTGTGATGTTCTCACTCTCCAACCTCTGTTTCAGTGACTGTTAAATACAAGGCTTTATTTTATGATACTTGTAATTTCTGACAAGTACCCTCATGTGTGAAATGCAGATGGTGTATTAGTTTCAGTACTTTTGCTTTAAAGAAATTCCAGTCCTCTTCCTCACTGAAGTTCCTGAGCTTTTCAGCCAGTTCACATTGTTGACTAATGCCCTCAGTTTTTCAAAGTCTGTCATTTTGAAAACCTTAATGAAACATATAAGTTATCAGGATAACTAGGTAGTATTTGGAGCAGACAGTAGGGTTTTTTAGTTCAAATTTTAACATTAAACAGCATAGCCTAATACAGACTAATATGCAGCACTGCTGATTTCATACTCATTTTCTCTGCTATTAGCTAAAGGATATTAAGATGGCAAAAAATATTTTTGTTATAATTTTATGCACAGTATGGCTATTACTTCTCAATTTCTACTCAATTAGGATTGAAGTAATATCCAATTTATTCTTAATGAAGTGGAGATAAGTTTTAGCAGGCAGTATCACAAGAAATCTAACAGTGCCACAAAACTAATATACATTCAAAGCTTCTTTAGGATTTAAAGACTAATTGATCTCTTGTTCAGACTGAGTAAGAAATAAATTGCAAAGGTGACAAATTATATAAAGCATTTGCAAAACTCCCAGCTGAAGCCTGGGAACTGCACTATAAAGGAGAAAAAAAAGTAGTTAAATATATTTTGGGTTTGTCTCAAAAGATTTTACCATTTTCAGTTCAAATCATTAACATTAAGAATTATCTTATAAAAAGATTATTATCAGATGTGCATTTTCAAGATACTTAACTGGAAATTGCAGATTTTTGCAAATGAGATTCTGAGACAAAAGGAATGCAGGGAGCACACTCTGAACACACTGAGAGATGCAGCTGAGCTGCATTTAGCAGGAAAGGGAGAGTGAGTCTGCCATTGTGACCTATTGCAGGTTTCTGTGAAACAACCATGAGATTTTTGCAATGCTGCTGATTTTTCCCTAGGAGATTCAGGCCAGATTGCAGTCCAGTGTTCCAGAGTGATGTTGCAGAGGTCAGATACACTCCTTACAGTTTATTTTTTAATATAATGAAAGATGTAGGAACCCTTTAAAAAAAAGCAGTTTAAAAGTCGCAGATTTCCATCTTTCCATAGAACTAAGAAACCCTATTGTGAACACCTGTCTTGCACATAAGAAATAGTGTGTATGTATGGTTCTGGGAGTCTTCTCAGGATGTATGTCATGGCAAACCATCTTGGCACCCCCCTACATTCTAGATGATTGCACATCACCTTGGTTTTTATTTTCTATGCAAAAAAGCCTTTAAAGAGAGACCTAATAGGGCTGACAGTCTTTCTTCAGACAGCCACCCTTCTAGCAAAAAACCTTCTTTTGGCACAGGTCTCTTCCAAGTCTCAGCCATAGGTGATAAATTTTCATTGTTACTGGAATTCATTGCAGTCAAGATGTGACATGTGGAGGTACCAGAACTTGGTTTAAGTGAACAAAGGCAATACAGTGCAGCCTGCCAGATCTCTCCAGGAGGCTGGGCAGCTGACTTAGCTGTGCTGTCTCTGGAAGCTGAGCTGTGCAGGTTAAGGCCAGCTCATGTATGTCAATTATGATCTCCTTCTTGACTGCAGAGGAAATGGAACCACTGTCAAACTGATCAAGACTTCTCATTCTGAAGACATCTTACCTATAAAAATATTTCTGTGCTTGAAAGTGGCTTAATTTTTAAGCTGTACCACAAGAATATTTGATAGAAGTTACTATGTCTATCTACAGTTTGTCTTGTTTATGTTACTGAAACAACTTAGCTACAGCAAATTTCAGCTTTATACTTTGGCAGAGATTGCCTATGTAAAAAGAAAGCACTTCACCGGGCAGAGTATTTTCAGGGTTCTTTTTAGTAGAAAAAAACCCAACATAACCAGTAACAGATTGACATCAGCAGTACCCACAGGAAGGAGATCAAAGCAAATAGCTGTGAATTTCACTGTGAGAAGAATTACCACAGATTTTATCACTTGTCTGTGAGAGTTTGTCTGAAATTTGTTTCTACCATCTTCATCTTAAATGAGATGCCATGGACCAGTGTTCTTTTTTTTTTTAGTGTAGTGCCATACACTGTGGAATTTTGGTCCCAAGGAAATATGCTGACACTGTCTGACAACATGCTGCTCAAAAATTTAAGAGTTAAACAAAACTGCCCCTGAAGCAGTTTGGCTATCACTGGAATTCCAGAGGATTTTGTATGGAAAAGAGAGTAGTACATCCTGTGTCATGGACAGTATGTAATTTGTAGCGTGGATAGGAAAAAATGTCTATGCGCATACACACACACGATTTCATCAATATTATTTATATGTTGTGTTTGGAGCTTCCCCACTTATATGTAATTCAACCATCCCAAGCTAATGCCGATAAAGTACCACAGCTGTTTCTGGGACATTGCTCAATTACGGAACACCCTTTCTGAACTGATGTGCAAGGCTCTCTCCCTGCATTCACACTCCTCCTGGGAATTTTGGTCCCAAGGAAATATGCTGACACTGTCTGACAACATGCTGCTCAAAAATTTAAGAGTTAAACAAAACTGCCCCTGAAGCAGTTTGGCTATCACTGGAATTCCAGAGGATTTTGTATGGAAAAGAGAGTAGTACATCCTGTGTCATGGACAGTATGTAATTTGTAGCGTGGATAGGAAAAAATGTCTATGCGCATACACACACACGATTTCATCAATATTATTTATATGTTGTGTTTGGAGCTTCCCCACTTATATGTAATTCAACCATCCCAAGCTAATGCCGATAAAGTACCACAGCTGTTTCTGGGACATTGCTCAATTACGGAACACCCTTTCTGAACTGATGTGCAAGGCTCTCTCCCTGCATTCACACTCCTCCTGAAAAGCCTCCCATCTTTTCTGTGATCTGTAAGACTCAAGCTACTAAGTAAAGGCAACGAGAAGAGAAAACAGATGATGGTCCATAGAGCTAATTGTTAAAAGTGATTCAAAAGTGTGCTACGCAGTTACAGGTTTTGCTATGTAAGCCAGAGC